ACAGTTTTGTAGGGATCTAAAACTTAATTTGAGGAATCCTAATATATTTATCTATTTCACTTGGAGAGGGCAGAGGTGTCCTGGGCCAGTTTTGGCCTAATCCTATTGTACATAAAGAAAGGAAGAATTTAAGGGCCTTCCAAAGGTCAAGATTACTTCTGCCTAGAAAGAACTTCAGCCCACCCTCTATTGTGACCATGGAGATAAAGCATTGTAATTAATAGTAAGTAATCAAAGCAAAGGGGAGCGGTCGGGGATTTCCTGGAAGATTTTATCATATACTCAGGATGTATAGGAGAGCTATGCAATTCTTTTATAGTAGTAAATTGGGGAGTCAGAGGGGGGTCGCTTCCCAGTGAGGCTGCCTCAATTCTCTGGAGCAAATAGCAAGCAGCCTTGCTGACATGCTAACTGACCCAAGCTTTGTTCCAAGGTGGGGGGGGGGTGCACAACAGTAGCCTTGCCAACGTGTTGATCCGACTGGAAGCGGAGCTCAAAGGTCAGGGGGCTCAGACAGATCCTGGGGCCTCACCGGGTCGGACTCCTCCACACAACCTCTTTGTGATCTAGCAGATGGCATCTCTTGTTACAAAGGGCCTTCACAGTTATGCCCATCAGTAGTGTGGTATTTCTGAACAACAATTTTATCAACTATCGTGATCATCAAAAGTTACAGAAGCAGGGAACCAGCAGTTAGCATAATGGCTATGTCACTGGACTCCCACGCAGTTGACCGCAGTTCGCGTCCTGGACCTGGTGGCTTGGTACTCATGCCGGGCGCGTGTGTGTGCATGCCCAAGATTCCGAGAGAAGAATGGAGGAGAAGGGATTGCGGCGTGACCATCCCCCCTGGGGGGTGACTTCTCGCTTTCTATCTCTCTGTCTCTCTCTGTCTGGCGAGCGCACGCACCCTATAGCGAAAACCTCTCAAAAAAAAAAAAAGTTGCAGAAGCAAATCTCCTCTTTAAAATTCCCACTCTGTCGATCTTCATGACTTCTGTGGTTTCAATCTTGCCAAACTTTTCCAAGTCGTCTCTCAAATGGTATTCTTCTTTGTCTTCCCTGTGAGATGGGCACCAGCTTTACAGAATCCGCTCTAGGAACAGCTCTCTCTGGTTCCACTACAGCCCATCAGCTCTGTGTGCCGGACACACTGCTGCAGCCACCCCTTCAACACGAGAGGAAGTCACTAAACCAGAGCCCCGGGAACGTTGTGTTTGGGGGTCTCACTACCACACAGTCTGTGAGTGTGCCCTGTTTTTCACGATGTTCTCTTAAACTCTCATCTGTATGAACTTTCAGAGCCCAGACCACCAATAAACAGTTTTCTCAACTGCTCCGGTTCCTTGGGATCATGACCCTCTCCCCCGCGGTGGCAGTGATGGCTGGAGTTGGGCAAGGGGCGATCGGGCGGTGGTTTTACCTCCATTTTGAGATCGGACTTGCCTCTTCCAACTACTTATGCCTTATTTTAAGGCGTTGTTAGAAAAGCGTAAGTTCAGAATAGGATCAAACTATCAGTGACACCTGCGTATCTAAAATAAAGAATGAGGCTAGTCCCGTAGGCTCCTGATTAAGGGAACTGGATCCCACGTAGCCAAATGTGGCTGGAACCCTGGCTCCAGTGTCATGTGTGCATGTGTGCGTGCCCCAAGTCCCTACAGGATGGAGAGATGGGGAGACTGGATGGTGGTGTGACCACACCCCATCGGGAGGCTTCCCTCTCCCTTTCCCGCTGTCTTGCTCGGGCAAGCACATGTGTCCTCTGGCAACAGCAAACTAACAGCACAGAATGTGCAGGCCCAGCTGCTCCTCAACCACCCACCTGTTCAGCAGTCACTTGGTCACTTAGTCTTAGAACAAGCTTTCCAGCCCAGAGAGCCCCCTTCTCAGTTTCTGTCTCATTCCCACGGTCAACTGTGGTTCAAGTCCTGGACCTGGTGACTTGAAACTCACGCCAGGTGCATGTGCGTGCTTGCCCAAAATCCCGAGAGGAGAGTGGAGGAGAAGGGATTGTGTCGTGGCCATCTCCCTGGGGGGTGACTTCTCGCTTTCTGTCTCTCTGTGTCTGAGTGCACGCACCTTATAGCGACAATCTCTCTTAAAAAGAAAAAGAAGGAAAAAAAACATGCCCTGTGGCACCACGACATGCTATGAGACATCCCTTCTAAGCTCTTCGCTTATCAACCAGTTTGCTTCCTTAGGAACGGACTCAGTCCTTAAGTGAGGAGTGCCCTGACAGCCGGTCGGGGCTGTTCTGATGCACCCCCTTATACTTTACCTGACCACGGAACCAGGAGATTCACAGCAGGGTCACGTGTGGTGCGGACGGGTGGTTTTGCTCTTGAATTTCAGCAGAAAAAGGCTTTTCCTTTCTTAAGCTGTTGGCAGACCTGGCAGGAGGGCCTGGGGTCAAGCCCAGGCTCGATGCTCTGTTAGGTGAGGGTCAGAGGTGCCCTTACAGGGACACCGACACACGGATGCACAGTTACCCCAGAGGATGGTACACAGCAGATTCTTCTCCCAGAATTTCCTCGCTTGTTTCAGAGACCCAGCTTTTGCACAGAGCAGGGTCCCTGCTTGTGTCACTGCATGGGGTGGATGTTCAGAAAACTGGGCCAGGCTGCCCGGGAGTGGAGAGTGCGGGCGGGCTGGCTGTCTGGGGGAGAGGAGAGGCTGCCTTCTCCCTAATGCTGTGTGTGCTCCTCTGCAGATGTCATGTGGCCCGTGCTGTGGACCGTGGTGCGCACCTATGCTCCCTATGTCACGTTTCCCGTGGCCTTCGTGGTCGGGGCCGTGGGCTACCACCTGGAATGGTTCATCAGGGGAAAGGCCCCGCAGCCGGCCGAGGAGGAGAAGAGCATCTCGGAGCGCCGGGAGGAGCGCAAGCTGGATGAGCTGCTGGGCAAGGACCATACCCAGGTGGTGAGCCTCAAGGACAAGCTGGAATTTGCCCCCAAAGCTGTCCTCAACAGAAACCGCCCGGAGAAGAATTAACGGAGGACATGGGGCCCTGTGGCCCAGCCGTGAGCATGACAGGCCTGCCGCCATGTCGATTCAGCCCAGAACCCACATCGGCTCTGCTCTGGCCCCCCGCACCACGTCGCACACATACTGGCTGCTCCCGCACGGCCAGGCCTCCCTGGGCCAGTGATGAGGAGGGCACTGCGGTTCTGGTCCGAAGGCTGCCTGTGTCGTGTGGTGGCCACGTGGCTCAGGCTTCCAAGTGCTGTGCATGCGTTCACCGCCGGGAGGAGTGGCACGGAGCGAACCTTGGCTGTCAGTGTCTGTGGGGAGGCAGTCTGGCCTCAGGTGGGAGTGGCTGGGACTCGGCGCTGCCTTTAAGAGGGATCCTGGCCTGCCCAGTTCAGTGTGGTCTGGGAAGAACTCCGCAGTCCACGTGGCACCCTCACTAGATCGGCCTGTCCTTCGTGATCATTCCTGAAATCCTGTCCTGTCGGCTTAGGAATGGGGTTCCTCAGGGAGGAAGGTGTTCTGTTCTTGGAAGTGCAGGCTGTTCACTTGGGGCAGGGAGGAATGCGTGCCTGGTGATTTTGCTTGAAAATACTCACCATCTTTCACCCCATCACTGTATAGTGCAAACCTTCATTAAAGTGGCATCTGAGAACAGTATGATGGAATCCTGTCTTCCACATCGCATCGGGGTCTCCTTAAGAGCTAGGCAAGTGCAGGTATTTCAGGTAGGACGACATGGCTGTTTAAAGACCTGGAAGGGCTGTTTAATGAGCGTGGTTGCACTGAACCCTGAGGTGCAGATTCCCAAGAGCCTTTTCACCAAGGCAGTGAGTCTAGCGCCCTCCAAAGTCTCAGTGGGAATAGACCATCCACCACCATGTGGGCATGCGCCCTCACATGCAGGCTTTTCCTTGTGAAAGTAATAGATGCACCATAAAGATAATTTGGTAGAGATTTGGGTCGGCAGGTGGCGTGGTGGTTAAGGGTGCTGGATTCCCACATGGCTGACCGTGGTTCCAGTCCCAGACCTGGTGGCTTGTTTTCTTACTTTCTCTTTCTCTGTCCCTCTCTGGCCAAATTAAAATAAATAATAAATAAAATAATTCTTTTTTTTTTTTTAAATATAGTTTGGTAGAATTTCAAGGAAAGGTTACCTACACTCTGCTATTCTAATACAGCTTCTGTTAGCATTTCGTTGTCTTTCACTGATTCTTTGCATAGTTCTTAAAGATGTTTATCGTTACTGTACATCTTATGTATTTGTTATTGTTTATTTGTTTCGTATTTTTCCACATTATGATTGTTTTTCATTGTATCACAAGATCATCCTGACTTTTTTTGGGAGAGGTTTTTGCTGTAGGGCACATGCACTCGCCAGAAAAAGAGAGACAGAGAGACAGAAAGCGAGAAATCATCCCCCAGAGGAGATGACCACACCACAATCCCTTCTCCTCCATTCTCCTCTCGGGATCTTGGGCATACATACACACACGCCTGGCGTGAGTTTAAGCCACCGAGTCTGGGACTCGAACTGCGGTTGACTACATGGGAGTCCAGCGACATAGCCATTACACCAACTGCTGGTCCTCCCCTGTTTTTAATAGGTGTATAATTGCCCATCAAGTGGGAAGGAATATAGCATGAGTTTATTTTTAAGACTTTCCTATTTGCTGGGCATTTGAGTTGCTTACGGTGGCTCACTGGTTTAAATACTGCAGTGAATAGCTTTTGCTTGCTTTGTTAGAGGGCTCTGGCCAGAGACAGGGAGAAGGCCCTCTCCAAGAGAATGGTCCTGCTACAGTCCCTTCTCTGTCTGCCTCTTGTTGGGGTTTTGGCTCATACCCACAGGTACCTGGCGTGTTTTCAAGCTGCCACGGTCCAGTGGAGGGAGCATGTGGGATTCAGCTGCCTGACCACTAGGCCAGCCCGGTGACTGTTATGCGAGGCTTGTTCTGCATCCTGGAGTAACTTTACTCTTAGGGACTTTACTCCCGGATGAGCAGTGAGCAGTGCTAAGGTCTCCATGTGTAATTGGAAGTCTCCCTAAAGGGCTTTCTGGTTTGTACTTGGTGTCCCGAGGGTGTTTCAGGAGGGGCTCGAGGAGGGCAAGGGGCGGCCCAGGACCTGTTGCCTCAGGAAACTGACTCCGGCCTTTGAGGGAGAGCGCAGAGCCCTGGCCTCGGCCTCAGCAGGAGGGGGTCTGCCCCACTACTTGATTCAGACCCCCCATCCTGGAGGCCTGCAGCTGTGAGCAGGTGGAGGGGCCAGCTGGATTGGGTGCTGGGAAGACTGTGACCCTGGAGAAGCCAGAGGGCAAGTCGGATGGTGGCTGGCTCTTGGCTGAGGCCTGCTGGGGATGCTGCAGTGGGCTGACCTGATGGGGCGTGGGGACAGGCCTCTGCCCTCGCGATTGGGCTTCTGGCTGGACAAGGGTCTGGTTACCAGCGCTGGTGCGACGTCTCATCGAGAGGTCAGTGCTGCCGCCTTGTGGCGATCCTGTGCACTTCCAAGGCCCGATGGCTTCACCGCTCAACCAGGAGCAGTAGACCCTATGTCCCCAGGGGTCAGGTCAGTCAGATGGCTTAAGTGAGCCCTGGGACTGGGGACTGGAAAGCATCGGCCTGCTGACAGGGGGCAGTGGTGATTCAGCCTCTTCCAATTTACACTGCTTGCCCAGAGGTACCAGATTTTCCATTTTCCCCCTTTCCTAAAAGATGCTAGGTTTCAGGTTTGTGTGTGTAATGTTCTGGTCTTTAAATGCTTACAATTAATTTTTTATTTCTATTTAAAGAGTGTTTAAAGTTTTTTCATAGGGCACATGCAGTCACCGAAGAGAGGCAGAGAAAGAGAGAAGGAAAGTGAGAAATCACCTTCCCAGGGAGGTGGCCGCACCACAGTCCCTTCTCCGTTTTTCTCAGGGTTTTGGGGTATGCATGCACACACCCCCTGCAATTCATTTTTTAAAAACCCCTAAGCGTGTTAGAAACCGTGGGGTTGATCTGAGACAGGCACTGCCCATTTGTGGCCTCTCAAACTTCCCCCCGGTGACATCTGAGGGCTATGTATTTATTAATCGTCCTATCAAGCCTGGCAAATATTAGATCTCAGAACTGGTTTTCCCCTGGGACCAGCAGTTAGCGTAATGGCTATGTCACTGGACTCCCATGTAGCTGACTGCGGTTCGCGTCCTGGACCCAGTGGCTTAAAACTCATGCCCAGGCGTGTGTGCATGTGTGCCCAAGATCCCGAGAGGAGAACGGAGGAGAAGGGATTGTGGTGTGGCCATCCCCCCTGGGGGGTGATTTCTCGCTTTCTGTCTCTCTGTCTCTCTCTGTCTGGTGAGTGCACGCGCCCTATAGCGAAAACCTCTAAAAAAATAAATAAATAAAAGAACTGGTTTCCCCCCAAACACTTCCAGGCCTCCTGCATGTAACGCAGTTTACTGTCAACCTCTGCACAATATTTGAGAACAAGAAGCCCACAGAGACAATGCTGAAGCCATTTCCCACAGACTTTTTGGATATTCAGATATTTTGGAATAACCCAGTCTCCGCTGCTGGATCCCCTTCGAGAGCCTGGTTGAAGCCCTATCTTTGGAACTCCAAGTTGCTCCCTTCCTGGCTCTGCCCTTTTTGAACAATTTCTTTTTTTTGGGCACGTGCTTGGCTATTAATACCCTATGTTAGGTCTTTCCCACGGGCTGGCTCGGAGCTGCTGTGCCGTGGCTGGGAGGTGGGCGTGCTCTCTCGCCTCTGCTCCAGTGACATCGAGTAGCAGGGCTTAGGCCAAGGACAGGTTGTGGGATGACCAGGGCATGGTCTGGTTTTCTCCAGCCTGCTGATTCACCTTGGAGGCATGTGACCCTCTTTTGAGCAGCCCAGCAGTCACAGTTCACCGCGGCCATGAGCGAGTGGATGTGCCCCGGGCTTTTTGCTTGCCATTCCCCTCGGTCTCTTCCCGCCAGAGCAGGGTTATCCTGTCCTAGCTTGGCAGGAGTCCTGCTCTGCCTCAGCGGCTCCGTGTCTGGTGCTTTTCCACCGTCTCTAGGCCTTTCCTGTGCTGCTGCTGTGCTTGCAGGTCAGCTGGGCTGCTGCCAGGACAAGCCCGCGGGAGCCCGTGACTCGTCTTCCCAGGGCCAAGACCATGGCTGGTGGGACTGTTGGCCTCCCGGCTTCGGGTGGGCAGTCAGGCAGAGGAAATAAGGCTCCTGGTGGCCACCTTTCCTTTGCACAGTGGTGTGGGCTCTGAGTACCTGCAGTAGTGACTAAGGCACTGAACTCCCACCTGGCGGCCTGAAACTAATGCCGGGCGTGTGTGCGCATGCCCAAAGCCCTGATAGGAGAACGGAGGAGATGAGATTGCTGTGTGGCCATCGTCCTGGGGGGAGGGGTGATTTTTCATTTTCTGTCTCTCTGTTTCTTCGTTGAGCACATGTGCCCTATAGTAAAAATCTCAAAAATTTTTTTCAGGGTTGCTGGTGAGGATAAGGTTACGTGTGCAGAGTTCTTGGGGTAGTCAGTGTTGGCTGCTTTCATTTACTGCAGAAAGGCCCACATGTCCTGCAGCAGTTGAATGTATTCTTTTTTTTTTTTGGAGAGGTTTTTGCTATAGGGCGTGTGCGCTCGCCAGACAGACAGAGAGAGACAGAGAGACAGAAAGCGAGAAATCACTCCCTGG